TATGGGATGGACATCATTTGAGGGCAGGGAAGCTAGCAGCAAGATAAAATTTGAGAAGTGATTGAGAGAAATGGGGGAGGAGCGTTGGGCTAGGAAGGTATTCAGCTACTTGTACATGAAGAATGTCGATACAAAATGGAGGAAGCGAACCAGAAAATTGACTGGTAAATACTTAGAAAACAGCAGGGGGCCAAACCAAAAAGAATTATCGGTTAAGAAGAAGGTGAAGGAAGCTGAGACCAATATGTGGAGAATTGGCATGATTAAGAAGCCCGCACTAGAGATTTATTGAACTTTTAAGCAGGAAATTGCCAAGGAAAGGATCTATGATAACTCGGGGTAGTTCTCTATGGTTTGAGGCCAGGACGGGAGTATTGCGAACCAAGACATATCGAGCCAAATACGAAGGGGTAAACACGGTATGCAGTGCGTGTGAAGAGGAAGAAGAAACTGCCGAACACTTGATAATGTGCTGTAAAGGGCTTCACCCTATAGTTCAGGATGATGGCGCAGAATTTTTCAAAGCACTGGGGTTTAGGGATAGGGAGGGCAAAACAGACGTTAAGCGGGTAGAATTAACTGGAAGGAGGTTATCTGATTGGTGGCTAAAGTCAAAGCACGAGTGAAAATTAAACCCTTCACTGTAAAGTACGAATCCTCAACCTCACTATTTAAAGGGAAAAAAAATAAATATAGTTTTTGCTTCATTAAGTATTAGGCTTGGTGGCGCTAGCCACCGCCCGATCTAAAGCCTACAGCCATATCCATCCATCCATCAATCCTTCCATCAATCCATCCATCCATCCATCCATCCATAATTGCACTTGCACCTGCTTGCACAGAGTCACGCGAATGTGTAATCCCCCTCATACTCCATATTTTGTCCTTCGTATCCTGCCATTGTTCGGTCAGCATGTGATGCCTTTTTGTTCTTCCAGACTGCTGTTAGGTTTAAATGTCCACGCTTTTTATCAAAAAGCTACCAAGTCCGTTTCTGACCAACAGGGTGGAGTTCTTACTGTGCTCTCTACTTGTGGCGCGTATTGTTGCGACCGGAGAGATCCGGTAATCAGAATGCTGAGGCAGGAGGAGCTTGAACTTAGTAGATAGGGTTTATTAACATTCTTTACAGGGCACGAGCTCTCTGGCCCGAAGCTTTACATTGAAAGCTTTACATTGAAAGGGTCTCAATTGAACAAGCACCTTGAACCAGCCCACAGCAGCCCACGAGGGCTGTTTTTAAACAGTCTCATTTCCGCAGATCTCTAGATCGGGGAATAGGTCCATACTGCACTGTCCAATAGAAGCTCCGACAGCACACTCGAGGGTCATTATACCGGCACCGCCCTAAACATACACACATACACTAACCAAACACGTGTATGGTCCCGGCGATGCTGCCTCATCCGGCGAATCTTGCTTCCAGCGAGCGGGGCGAAACGAGTTTTTCATCTCGCCGCTCGGGCCAACCACCCATGCTTTGTCGAAAGGCAGTTGTGGCTAGGTGCCTCCGATGGCAAATACCTGGACATCTGGTGCTGACTTGAGCGTCAGCGGCCCATCAGTCAGAGACGCACAGCGCGGTGGTCCAATGTCCATCTTCGACAGAAACTCGGCATTATGGCTTTTCCTGGGGCACGAAGACGTCACGTGTCGCATCTCCGTGCCGGCCTTAACGATAGCAGTGCTCCGTGGAGTAATTTCAGCCACGCACCACCCAGGACATGAAAACAGCAGTGCGTCTTCGCGCTGCTCCTTATCTGCACAAAATGGGGCGGCAGCCTTTCTTCCGTTCTGGCGGCCGCGGCAAAGGGGTGGCTCGCCAAACACAACAGTATACACTAGAAAGACACGACACTGATTTTGGTCTGCCGACTGTTTTCGGAAGTGTCTTTTGTCTTGTCGTCATCATATGTACACTGAAACGACACAAAAAGTCTGTCGATGGTCTCCGGAAGACACCATCCGCGCCTTTTCGAGCTAACGGCCTTTTATTGGCCAATACTCTAGTCCTAATGGAAGCACACAGGGAGACACCGACTAGACTTGCACACCTGCACTTCATTTTCAGCCATGCTCACTGCTCGGCCATTCTACCTCTCCGGCTACACTGCGCAGCGCGCGCCATAATCCACTGCGTCGAGGGACGGGGGTGGGGAAAGACCAAAGTCAAGCGAAGAAAATACTTCCGTGGGGGGGGGGGGGGTGCGCAAGATATCTATTCAAATGCTGTGGAAGTCTCGGAAGGGGCACTGTTATCCCCCCCCCCCAAGATTTCCCCCTCTGCGATCGTCCGAAGCAAAGACATGGGCAAACTTTCGCTCAGCCGCGGATCTCCCGACGACACGCCGACGACAGGTCTGCCGATTCGTCTTGCTGGTATTTTCGGTCTGTCATCATGTTACACTAGCTGCGCGAGGACTAGTCAACCATGTAGCTTTCGGGGGGCGCGGCGCTGATGTCTTGGAGAATCATGACCCTCCCATCTCGTATAATGAACGGGCAAAATAGTTTTACCTGGTGCGGAGACAAGACACTTCACCACACATGAAACTAAGCAGACCTCAGGCTCTGATATTCAGGCTTCTTTAGGTCATGGCGTACCCAAATTCCAAGATATTGGACAAAATTTATCCCGAAATACAGCCTACTATTACATGTTCCTTCTGCCACAATACAGCCAACTTGGAACATATGCTCTGACGGTGTCCCGCGCTACGCTGTGGGGAAGTCATCACGCTGTCTAAATGGGAGGGTGCTATTGCAAGCTGTGGACTCGAACAACAGCTATGGGCAGTTCACAGGGCCCGCGACGCAGCAGAGAGACTTGGTCTTTCTGATGTAGGAGTGGTCCGCAACGTGCTAAAGCGCGTTCTGAATGACCAAATAAAGTTCATTCATCCATCCATCATGTTACACTACGAAGACATGCTGTCTTTCGAGGCGTCGTCATCATCGTCATCGTCAGCCTAGACCAGGCGGTCTGGCGAGATTGTCGGCGAGCGACTCGTCGGCCAACCGTCTGCGTCTGCCTCGTGTCTTCGTCGGGGTCGTGTCAGAGTCGTGTCGCTGTAGTGTGAACGCCGTAAATGTTTTGTTTTGCAGAGCAGAGTCACCCATTAAGAGTTCTATTGCTTATCCTTTTGTGTTGTATGATCGACATATTCAAGCGATGAGGAGATACAGGCACCTTACTTGTGCACCAGTATGTCTTCACATTTCTCACCGTCACATGTACGGGCCAATAACACCTAGAGCCCCGAATGTTGACAAGCATATCTTACGTTACAACTGCTGGTGATATCAAATTCTATGCCAACCCTTATGTGTATTCATAAAAACGTTTGCAAGCATTGTTCGTAAGCGCTCACTCGGGAGGGCATAGTGAAAGCGGCCAGCCAATGTCAAAATGCACTCATGAACGAAAAAATCTTGGTAGGTTCATCCCATAGTGTTTAATAACAGCCAATAACAACACCGAAAAATAACAAAGAGCACTTTCTAATGTCCAACTTTGTGAGATTGGCAAAGTGCTTTAAGTGTTTCCTTTTCTATTAACCATTTCGTTACATCTAATTTTATACAACGCCTCCCCCTGACACGGTAAACGCTTGTTTACACTAGAGCGACGCGACGCTGACACGACCCGACGAAGACACGAGGCATACACAGACGGTCGGCCGACGAAGTCGCCAGTCCACCTGGTCACACTATAGGCCGATGACGACGACGCCTCAAAAGACAGCATGTAGTAGTATATATAGTGTAACATGATGACAGACGGAAAACATCAGCAAAACACATCGGCAGACCTGTCGTCGACGTGTCGTCGGGAGATCTGCGGCTGAGTGAAAATTTGGCCATGTCTTTGCTTCAAACAATCGCGAAGGGGGAAATCTTGGGGCAGATAACAATATCCCCTCCGAGGCTTTCACGGTGTTTGAATTGGCATCTTGCGCACTCCACGGAAGCATTTTCTTCGCTTTCCTTTTGTGCATCCCCACCTCCATCCATCGACGCCATGGATTATGGCGGGAGCTGGCATGGCAAAGCAAGGAACATGGCTGAAAATCAGGCGCTGGTGTGTAAGTTTAGTTGGTGTCGGCCCGTGTACCTCCAGTGTGACTAGAAAATTGGCCAACGAAAGACTGTGAGCACGACAAGACGCGGACGGAGTCTTCCAGAGATCATCGGCGAAATGTCTGTGTCGTTGCAGTGTAAGTAGGACGACGGCAAGACAAAAGACACTCCCAAAGACAGTCGGCACACCAAAATCAGTTTCGTGTCTCTCTAGCGTAAACGCGCCTTAACGCAATGATTATTTACTGCAGCAAATGGTGACTTGTTCCGTCCGTTTTGAAATGTGAATATATATGTATGCGGTGCACCATTTCTAAACAGAATACGGCCCGTATTCACAAAAAAGTTCTCGCGCTATGTAAGTGTCCATCAAAGCAGGCATCGGGACATGGTAATGTTGTACATAACAGTAACAAAGGTGGTGCTAACAGCAATCACAATTGAAAAGTTTCGTGAATTTCGCGTGCTTCTCTGACGCACACGACCGATTTGTGAGTAAACATTTCACAATACTGCACATGATGCAAATTCATTTATATTTATCTGTTTTAGATGCTCTTGTGGACGCAGTTTATATAAAAAATCCATAACGATTAATGGTGCAGAGTGACAGATTCATTCACGTCATCCTTTAGGTGGTTGTATAAGTCACCAAATTTCAGAAAGGACGCATTCACAAGAGTACAGCTCTCAAATGCAGCAAATTTGAACATAATTTTATTCAAGCGACTGTCTCATAAAATGACTTTGGCATTTTTCTTCAATCTTATAAGGAGCTATATATGTGTCGAAGTTGGCCTCTAGCTTCATCTAAATGCACGTCAAAAGCCTTTGGGCAAGGCTGTGCACCACGAGCAATATACGACACGCTGCGAGCGAGCTGCTGAGCTCAGATATCTAAAAATGGCGCACCTCTTCAGGTACCTGCAGTGGTCGACGGCTGCCAGGGTCCATGCTGGAGGCCCTCCGGGCTGTTTCCTGACCCGGCGGACTGCTGCGGCTTCTTCAGCTGTGCATCATGCCGTGCGTACCGACTACGCTGCGCACCGGGCACCGTGTTTGACCGGCGCTTGGGGCTCTGCAACCACCCACACGATGCACCTGCCTGCCTGGCACCCAACCCAGGTACACCCGCACACGAAGGAGAATGCCCACATGAAGCTGAGGCACGCCGATTGCGGCCTAACTTATAATTGCATACGTGGACATATGACGCCACATGTATGTAGTATATACAGGGTGTCCCACGTAACTTTAGCTAGAGTTTAAAAATATGCCGGCTCACGCGATTACGACGCCACCAAATGCATGTTGCTCACAGTTGCCTTGAGCTAATCAGAATATTTTTCGTGTTCTCAAATGTTGTTTAATTAGATGTGTTTAAATATCTAATTTTTGAAGAAACAAAAATGGATAAAAAATTTCAATGAGAAAGATGTAGATTGGTTTGCAAAACGTCCGATTAGACAGTTTTGAACTTTATATCTGTTAGGTATTAGTGTTTTTTCTGCTAATTACAAATACCCACGAAATACAAAAAATACCACGTGACAAACCCATTTGCGGGTCAGTGCGCACAATGATTCTAGTGTTCCCTTATGTTCCGCGTACGAACGACCATGGGGCATTTGCCCCATTGTGCTGTCTCGGCAGGGCTGCAACTATGGTGGTGGCTTTACGATGAACACGTCTTGCTATCGGCCACAAAAACGATAATCGCTGTGACGGCTTATCGCTGTCATGAACCGGTGCGAGGGAAGCGTGTCGTTCGTACGCGGAACGTTAGGGAGCACTAGAATCATCATGCGCACTGACCCGCAAATGGTTTTGTCCCGTGGTATTTTTTTGTATTTCGCGGGCATCTGTAATTAGCAGAAAACACTAATACTTAACAAATATAAAGTTCAAAACTATTTATTTGGACGTTTTGCGAACCGATCTACAACTTTCTCATTGAAATTTTTTATCCATCTTTGTTCCTTCAAAACTAAGGTAATTCAACAGATTTATTTAAAAATATTTGAGAACACAAAAATAGCCTGACTAACTCTTGGCAACGGTGAGCAACTTGCATTTGGTCGTGTCGTAATTACGTGTTCTAGCATATTTTTAAACTCTGGCTAAAGTTATGAGGGACACCCTGTAAAGTCGTATACTCACATATATGCTTAGAAGTCATATAAAGTCTACTACAGAATCAAGCGCTTTAGAAAACAACAAAACAAGACAACAGAAGAATCATGTCAGACTTGGCGTGTTGCTTGAAAAACCCAAATATGTATCGACAGCTCAGTCAGCTTTCAACTCCATTTAGCTCCAATTCGCGTAATTAAACGTTTAAGTTCACGATCCTTGCAACCCGGATTCAGCCCTTGTAACTGAAATATGGTCCGACACATGGGTTTAGTCACGTTTATTTCTGCTCATATGCATGACTCTTAGAAAAAATGTAATATATACATAATCATAAAAACTAAGTTAGATGAAACTTGTGTGCAGAGATGCGAAGTACGGGGGAAAAACGGGAAAATTCCGGGAACGTTTTTTTTTTTTCGGTGCAGTTCGAAAAATTGACCAAACTTTCAGTGGGGTAAAACATACAGAAATAAAGCTTAGGCAACACCCTGACCACTCACCATCGGCATCACATGAAGTCAGCTCCTCCAGCATCAGCTTAGATTGAGTCTATATCCTATAGCTTCGTCAATCGGGTGTGGTCTGGTGTGGTCATGGCGGCGGGGGGTAGGAAGTGGGAGTCTGACGCTTTGGTACCCGTTATTATTCAGTTTTACTTTCCTTCATACACTTTTGTGACCTGTGGTAGAAGTCCACTTATAAAGCCGTGTGCAAGCAGATTCTTCAATGGTTCGGCTGATTCATGACGTGTGGATGCACTTCACAGTCGAGGAGACCGGTGGCGGGAAACGGGGACTCGCTGTCTTAAGCACTGCAACAGCAGCTACGCTTTTCCCAATGCGTCATCTTAACACGATGAAGAAAGTTGTACAGATGAAGTCAGTGATACTAACTCTGAATATGAGTTTGTTACCATCTTGATCAATGTTTCCATATCCAAGCCACGATGAAATAGACTTTTATGGGTTCTTTGTTCTAACTGCTGTAACAATTTTAGGAAGCCGCACCCATTATGAGAGAGCTAAATGAGTTCATGGTCATGCTTCTGGCTGCCTTCGATCTGTTAATGCCGCATTCGTTTGTGAAAAAAAAAGACAGCATTTCATTTCTGTTATTTACGTGACGAAAGTTATTGCTTTTGGCACAACTGGCAATAAACTATTACCACATGGCAATAGAATATTGTCCCATGCTAAAAGAAAATTTGTACTTTTCCATTTTTTCTGAAATTTTAGGAAAAAAACGTGAAAATTTTGATTTTTTTTATTGCTCAAAATTTTTTGGAAATTTTGCATCTCTACTTGTGTGATAATATCTGGGGTTTAACGTTCCAAAACCGCCATATGATTATGAAAGACGCCGTAGGGGAGGGCTTCGAAAATTTCGACCACCTGGGGTTATTTAACGTGCACCCAAATCTGAGCACACGGGCCTACAGCATTCTCGCCTCCACCGAAAATGCAGCCGCCACAGCCGAGATTCGATCCCGCGACCTGCAGGTCAGTAGTCGAGTGCCTTAGCCGGGTCGGAACTTGCGTGATGCTTACTAATAGGCGCCCACCGTTTTGTTGCTATAACTAAAAAAGTTAATGGGAGTAAAACTAGGCACTAGTGTTCCATCCGGGTAATGAAGTGCCCACTATCTATCTATCAAGTGTACGCCAGTTCTAAACGCCCAGTCCTTCATTACTCTATAGGCACATACCTTCTTTACATGTATGCCGGGGAATGCAAGCGTTTATAACCTGGTTTGTAAGCTTTCCCTTTTTGTATAAATCGCCATTTTTAGGGGGATCTTGTAGGAGGGTACGACCATGTGAGATAAATAAGGCACTTTTTGTGCTAGCATAATCTTCTGTAAGAAGCAGTCATTCAATATTATTCACAAAATTAAACACGGAAATTTTAAACGCGATGGACCTCTGAAGGAAGATATTCTTGAAGTGATGAGTAGTCGTCGAACAGGGAATCTCGCTTGCTCCACATGGTTTCCCAATTTCAGAACAAAGTACTGTCACATTTAAATTATAAATGGGATCTTCTATTAGACGCACAACGCACAAAAATGGAGAGAAAGTGATTGTGTGATACTGAACACCATATTAACTAAGTTAGTAGCCGCTAGAACGTATCGACATAGATACTATCGTTGTGGGTTTGATATGTGAAATCTTGCTGTGAGATTTTAACTGTTTTAGCGCAATAGCGCTAAAGAGCTCGTGTCGCTGAAAACCCGCTGCTGGCGTCGGCCCCGTTCGTTGTGAGCGAAAAATCGTCTGTGCGTCTGTGACCGAAAAATCAAGTTACCGACATAGCCATGGGAGGCCCCTGCTTGTCCACGCGAGCGCGTGATCACATTGAGAAAGCCGCGCATTCGAAGAGAAAAAAAATGTGCTCAAGGTCACGAGGCGCGGTAGTTTTTTTTTTTTTTTTTTTTTTTTTTTTTGCCCTGCCACCCTTCCCTGATTAGCTTCCAGCGCTTTCGTCGGGACGAGAGAAGAGGTAATGCAATTGCAGCATGCGACAAACTTTCGTAACTCCACTCGCACTGGACGGATTCTTAAAATTTTTGCGAATTCATTCCATGGTCACTTGCAAAAGTGTTTTAGGGCCCCTTTAACGCATTTTGTTCGACGGGTGTGACAACGAAAACAAGCCCATTTGGCGATAATAGCACGCGCTGGTCCAATCTACTGTGTGCATGTGCGTTCATGTGCATGTAACAAGACATATGATTAAGTATGCACTTAGCGGTTGAAGGGCCGGATTTCGCTATCACATTCAACTCTTAAAGGTGAATTTTAAGACTCACCCAATTTTTCTTTAGTTTCGTCAGGTATACCGAATTTCATTTATTTCTTCCTTTCTTTTATTTACAACGTAGCCTTATTTGTTTTCACAGGACTCGTTTTAGATTGTCATTAGTACTCGCCGCGTGGTCTAGAGGTTATGAGGCTCAATTACTGACCCGAACCTCACGGTATGGAATACCGGTCGTGGAGGCCGCTTTTTGGTGCAATCAAAATGTTAGAGGCCCGTACGCTTAAATTTAGGTGCACGCTTAAGGACCCCAGGTGATCGAAATTTCTGAATTCCTCCTATACGGCGTCTTATATCATCAGACAATCATGTTGTGGTTTAAGGACATAACACATCAACAATTATTCGTGCCATACTGACTCAAACGGACTTCATATTCCGGAGTTCCGTCGCCGTTACTCTTACTGCTGACTAACGTCCCGAGCTTCTTCAACTTCTTCTACACTTCATGAATTTTGTCGATGTTTCTCAGCCGCAGCTGGGTCGCACGTCAGAAGGGCACCATTACGGTGACTCCGGCTTGCACCAGCCTTTGTGTCTAAGACCGAGCCATGTCTCTACTTGAGAACATCGCATCATCAATGACCAGGTCAAAGGACGGATTTGTTCGCTTTTACATCGTCTACCGTCGATAAGATAAAGTAACATGCAAAGACCTCGGGCGCTCATCGACGATGCCTTTGACAGCCTCTAAGGAACGGAAATTTTCTCATCCTCAGACTTACTTTCTGGCTACTTGCGGGTTCGAATGGATGAAGCTGATCGCCCCAAACCGCCTTTATTACACCTGACGGCCTGTATAAATTTAGCTCGATGCCTTTTGGGCTTTGCAACGCACCTGCCAGATTTGAACGACTAATGGACAACACACTTTATGCCCTTGAATTGCCTCTGCGTATGCTATACGTCCCCAATATTGTCGTTTTCTCTCCTGATTTTCCTGCCCACCTACATCGGAACAGACAGGTTTTCACATCAATAACCAATTCTGGGCTCCTCAAAACGTGCCTCTTCGCAGCGTGGGAGCTTACCATATTACACCGCTTTGTCCAGCCACGGTGTTCTACTTCAGCCTGCCAAACTTCATGCACTCGCCGAATTCCCGAAGCCTGCTACCATCAAAGACCTTCGCGGGACTGTGCTCCTATACTCCCACCGCTTTGTTGGAA